GAAGATAATGATCCAAAGTATCAATCAAAAATCGCAAAAAAATGGAAGGAAGAAAATGGCATTGAGATACTTTCTTGGCCATCAATGTCTCCAGACCAAAACTCTATAGAAAACGTTTGGAGATTAATAAAAATTAATATACAAAAAAAAAATTCGATCAATTAGAGGGTTAAAGGAGAAACTTACAAAAAAATGGAACTGATTATCACCTGTACTTGTCGCGAATTTGGTAGCTAGCATGATAAGGCATACAGCTGCACTTATAGAGTCAGATGATGACTACACATTGTATTAATTTTAGTTTGTTGGTTATGTATTTTTTAAATAAAAAAAAAATTTTTGAATTTACTTACTTGTAGCCGGAGTTAGAGGCGGTCAGATACTTATGACTGCTACTACAAAAGCGTGGATACTTATAGTGCTAGATTTAATAACCTTAAAAGATTGGTTGACCTAAGTGAAAATTTACCAGATGACTATGAAATTAGGTTATTTTTAAATGGGTTAAAATCTAACATTGCAGCAAGAGTCATAATGGCAGATCCTGGTAATCTAAGAGCAGCTATTAATAAAGCTAGAGCAACTGAAGCAGGAACATATTACATGAGAGAATCTTCACAAGTCACAAATAATGATACAATTGAAGCTTTGACAAAACAAATGGAACAACTTTCCCTTAATTATGCAAATATTTTTAATGTATTAGTAGCATAAAATGGAACTCCAAAGATTACAAATGTACCACCTAAAAATACCAATATAACAAGAAATCATAGTGATAGAAAACCTTTTAACAAAAGCCAAGTAGTTTGTTGGCGAAGTGAGGAAAAAGATCATTATTCTAGAGAATATCTATCTGAAAGATCTACTAAATCGAAGCAAAGAGATGCCAATTTGATTGAAGTTTTTACTGATAACAAAGAAGAAGAAGAAACATCTAAAGTATATGCAGGAGAAAAGTCTCGATCATATACTACTGACAGAAAGAATGCAAAAATAAGATAAAGAGAAATGACTAGAACCTCTAAGTCAAACAAAGAAATAAATCTTAGGACTCGTGTCATTAACTCAACTAAAAAGGAAGTAAAACCCACCACTAAACAAAACCAGTTAAAAAAAGTACGAAATCCTTCCAGAATTGATAATCTTGTACCATATAATATAGCTGATGATATCCTATCAAAACAATCTTTTGCAACTCTAGGGCAGTGGTTACAAATACCAGCCTAGGGAAGGAATTCAGCAAATGCTTTAAGATATCATCTTATATCAACACCTAGTATTAATTCTTTAGAATTTATAGATGATGAATAAGAAAAGAAAACAACTTCCTGTAAAGCGTATATTAGAATTAAAAATAACTCCATCAAAGCTATAATTGATACAGGAGCAGCTATCAATATTATTACCAATAAGTTAGCTAAGAAGTTGGGACTTAACATTGATAAACCTTCTAAATTAATCATGATTACAGCTAATGGAAGTCGTGTAAGAGCTCTAAGACAAATTACTGAAGCAAGAATAATTATACAACATGTGTCAGTTCCAATAGAACTTCAAGTGATTGAATTGCTACAGAATACATTATTACTAGGAGTAGATTGGTGTAGAAAGACCAAAATAAATCTAGATTTTAGTACCTAAACTGCTTCTATCTCATATGTTACTAAAAGAGCTACTTTTAACATCTTTTTTGAAGAAGGAATGGTAGATGAAAGGGAAAATTTAGACCAAGTCTTAGATGAATATTAAAGAAGAAGACTTAAATGAATATGATGTATTCTTAAGTGAAGTCAAAAATAATGTCCAATCAAAATATGTAATAAATATAATGTACGACCACCAGGATATTATTATGTCACAAAGAATTAATCCACAAAAAAAAATGTATAAAATGTAGCAAGTGTCAGGCAGAAAAGTGGAACCTAATGAAATATCACTTCAAGCAGTATTAAGGGAAACACATGAGAAAACAGGTATTCTAATTAAATCTGAAGATGTAGAGTACTTTATAATGATGACTTCTATGACTATGATGTATATATTACTAGAATTGCACCAAATTGGATTTTTGAACAAACTGAACCAGAGAAACAAGGAAAATGGTGGCCATTTTATTTTGAAGAATATGCAGATATGGCAGAACAAGGAGAAACAACTCCTACTCATACCAAATATGCAGATAGAATTTTAGAAGAAATTTGTACAAGAATATATAAAAATAAATATCCAAGTATATATCTAGCTAATTTACCAAAGGAAGAACAAGAAAAATCTAAACTACAAGTTAGACTATTGAATGCCTATCAACAAAATACCTTTCAACAAACTCTTGAGAAAAATAGCGATTTATGTGCTAGAAGTCAAACAGATACAGGACGAACTGCTATTATCAAACATTTAATAATTTTGGAAAAAATCATACCAATTGCATAAACGGCATATAGATGCAGTTCAGATAATCAACAATTTTTGTGCTAAGAAATTGAAGACATGGAAAATAAAGGAATTGTTAGAAATCAAAGAGTTCATGGGCCTCACCAGTTGTAATTGTAGCAAAGAAAACTGGGGATAAAAGAATATGTTTTGATTATAGAAAATTGAATGCAGTCACAAAGAAAGATACTTACCATTTACCTAGAATTGATGATATATTAGAGTCATTCAGAACAGCAAATTGGTTCACTATGTTAGACTTAGCAAGTAGTTATTGGCAAGTTGAAATAGAAGAAAAAGACAAGGAAAAGACTGCTTTTATTACTAATTTTGGGCTATATGAATTTAACGTAATGCCTTTTGGATTATATAATGCTTTAGGAATTTTCTAAAGACTCATAAATTATGTCTTACAACTATATACAACAAAATTTGTCTCAATGTATTTAGACGATATCATAATTTATTTGAAATCTTTTGAATAACATATCGACTATATTAAACAAGTTTTTCAAGTATTGAGGGAAGCTAACTTAAGGATTAAGTTGAAGAAATGTAGTTTCTGCATGCCTAATTTAACATTTTTGGGACATATAGTTGGAAGAGATAGTATTCAACCAGATCCAGCAAAAATAGAAAAAGTAAAAGATTTGCCAATACCAAAAGATGTATCTTAAGTTCGATCAGCTTTAGGGTTATTCTCTTATTATAGAAAGTTTATTAAGAATTTCTCATGAATTGTAAAGCCTATTAATACCTTATTAAAGAAGGACAAAATATTTGAATGGACTGAAAAGCAACACAATGCATTCATTCGTCTAAAAAATTGTTTGATTAATGCACTCATTGTTTAATACCCAAATTTTGATGAAACTTTCTATTTATATACCAATGTATCAGGAATAGGTTTGGGAGTTGTATTAGCACAAAAAGATAAGGAGAAAAGAGAACATCCCATTGCTTATGCTAATAAAAGTTTAACCTCAGCAGAAAAAAATTATTCAGTTACAGATCAAGAATGTTTAGCAATAGTATAGGCTATTCAACATTTTTATCATTATTTATGTATATTTAAATTTGAATTAATTACAGACCATTCAGTACTAAAATGGTTACAAACATCTAAAATACCAAAAAGATGACATGCTAGGTGGATGATGGAATTACAACCTTATAATTATACTATTTAGCATAGACCAGGAAAGTATAATGCAAATGCTGATGCCCTATCAAGAATTAATGATAAACAATCTGAAAAAGAAGATATTTGTGAAATTTTTATGGTATTTATCTGTGATGAAGAACCTGAAATTGAATGGCATTCTTCAACAAAAGAAAGTTCAACACCTGATCCTAAAGAATTGTGGTTTGAAGAACAATTATACCAACAATTTGTAAATGAACCATTAATTACAGTTATTGGATATCAATCGCCTAAGGATGAATTGAAAGATATTTATTGTGAATATATTAAAGTTAAACAAGTTATCGCTGGACAACCTATTAAAAAAGGAGGCTTTCAATGTACTTTTGATTGCGATACTGAGAACCATCATGTTCATACCTATTGCAAAGCTTGCAAAAAGAATCTACCTTATGGAACAGTGATTCACAGTTGTATCATAGGATATGAGTTAGAACAAATACAACCTGATATGAATCCTAATTATCTTTGTAATGACATATTTTGAGAAAAACCATTAGCAGTATAACAACAAAATAATGATATTTTACTAGCGAATTTACTTGAAGAACTTCTTGACGAAGTTCTATTATATTAAAACTAGTTTTATTAAGATAATAATTAGAATGAAAGCGTAAATGTCTACAGTGTGATAGACAGCTCTATAACAAAATGGATGATCTATATTATACTCATATTCTTAACTATTTAAAGACAGAATCATTACCACTAGACTTAACTAAAGTTCCGAATGAGTCGAGTCGAGTCGAGTTTAAAGATCAACTCTATTCGACTCGTTTTTTTCGAGTCGAGTCGAGTC